CTTAACCAGAAAGCAGCTCCTCTCACCCTGAGCCTGGAAGTCAAAATGAGGGAGACCCACAAAGATGAGCAAGAAACGCTAAGCCTGAGACAGCTAATGTTTCTCTTCCTCCATAGCTTTGTAAGCTCTAATGTGCACAGTGATCACCGAGGGATCTTATTAAAGCACAGCTTCTGACTTAGGACCGGGTCTCCGCATCTCTAACAAGCTCCCAGGCGATGACAATGCTATTGGTCCATGGACCGCAACCCGAGCAGAAAAGTCCTACTGACATCTGTCTGGCAACAGTTCCCGACTTATTAGCAACAGCAGTCTTGGGGGATTAACACTACTGGAGTATCATTCTTCCTCCTGAAAATTCTCAACTGGGGGCAACTGTGTCCCTTGAGTCCCCCTCAAGGGACCGTGAGCCATGTCTGGAGACGGGTTTTTTTGAATCTCACAACTGTAGCAGGGAAATGCAAAATGACAACCTGGGTAGAGGCTGGGGGCGACGAGAGAGTCACTGCAATTCACACGCAGACCTGTGACAAAAACAAACAAAAAACAAAAAAACCACCTGGCCCCAAATGTCTCTACAAGAACATCGTGTTCTCTGCCATGCACCTGAGGCTACACATGCTAATTATAAAAGCAAGCCGGCGACCCAATGTCCTTTCCCAGGTTAGCTCTGAGACATGAGGGATCCCTGTAAGGGGAGAAGGGTCTCCAGGTCTGTGTTTTGTCGAAGGGCAGGCATGAGTGGTTCCGTGATCCAGCTGGGAAACCTGCAGAGCAAGAAACCTTAGGTCTAACAACTAACTGTTCAGGACCACAGCTCTGTTCATGCTTATCCAGGACTCCAAGCTCCAGGCGGGCGGGCAGGCGGGCGGGTGTTCAGACTCGTTCGCTCACGTGGGGCTGAGGACCTGCCTCAGCGCCTTGCGTACCACAAACACTCACATGCCAGACTCCATCTAGCAACTTCCAAAGTTACTTCAACTCCGAACATTCTCAAATAGACCAGGGTGGGGGGGGAGCGATAAAGGGTGCTCTCAAGTGCCATGCCCATTTGCTGACTCACGGTATTATCTGCATCTGGAAGGTATATCTACAACCCAAGGGTTTTGAGGCAATCCTGCAATACTGTGTCACGTATTGGAATACCTTGTACTGGGTTAGAGTGAACGCAGCCTACACTGCTAAGAGAAGAAGATACAGGATGCCGTTTACTTTACACAAAAGATTTTCCAGAACTGTCCCTCAGTGATGGGTAAAGCACGGAATCCCGCCTCTTCAGCCAGATGCGCCAACCCATCCCACAGTATGCCATTCAGCATGGGCTCACCACCGAGTCACTGCTGGATCCAGACAGAATGTACTCTCTGCTAGCAAATGCACAGACCTGGAGAACCGGGAGGACTTGGCAAAGGACCCCTCCGTGTAGAAAACAGTGACAGTGTGACTCGTGACTCAAGAGAGAAGGCTCGCTGTGTCAGGAGTGACAACCAGCGACGCTGCTTCTCCAGGACGCCAGCCAGAAACACTCAAGGAGAATCCACGGCCATCTCTCGAATTTACGCCGTCCACGCCATCCATCAGGAGACGCAAGGCTTTGGGTGAAAGGTGTTAAGTGTGCCAGTTCCACTGGGGGAAGTTATTTTAAAAGACGTGCTCTGGGACAGTGCAGGACAGAAAACCTTCCCACTGACAGGAGCAGAGGGAGGTCAGGGGACAACACTATGAAAGTGGAGAGCTCTGATTGGCTCCCAGGACTCTAGAAAAATCAAGTCAGGTTAGGATCAGAACCTAAGCATTGGAATGGCGCCACCCAGGGCAGCGGTTAGGGTTCCGGAGCCCCTGGAGCGCAGCCCTAAAATAATGACGAAAATAAGCGGTGAAAAATACAACCTAGCGGAAGGCTGGGAAGGGGGCATCAGAGTACGGGGTGCCTGGACACCCGACAGCATGGCAGTCACTCCTCACACAGTCTTGGGTTTGCTGGGGGGGGGTGGGCACCCCTGAACTGGATCAGGCCCCAGGTCACGTGCTATTGCCCAGGACAACTCCAAGGGGCAGGACCCCGGAGAGCAAGCAGAGCAAGCCTCAGAGCCAAAGCAGAAGAAGCGAGTCTTCGCTCACGCCCAGTTCCGCCACGTCACTCACCAACTAGCCCGGACCCTTCTCAAGCTGCATTCTTGTGTCGCGCCAGGACCACCTCTCCAGGTAATGCCTTTCCCGCGATTATTGCCGGCTGTGTTAAGCAGTGCTTGCTTTCATTGGTTACAACAAGGAAAAGGAGAACTGGGGGTGAAGCGGCAGAGAGGCTAATGTCACTTTCATCGAGGGACATGTTTGGGGGAAGCAGAAGCGTTCAACAGCGGTGGGGACCTCAGCTCGGGGAACCTGACGCCTGCCTGCAAGGGTTCTGTGCGCATGAGAACCCTGTGTGCTTCTGAGAGACAAAGGCGTAATTCGTGTTAGAAAACCGTGCTAACCATTTGGAGCACGGGCTACGCTGATTCACAGGGCCCCGAGCGGACTGCAAACACACAGAGAGGAGAAGAGAAAAACCCGCCGGCAGGCAGGGTCCGGCAGGCCGGCTCCTGCACACGCATGGGCATGGGTTGGAAATCCTGGTGAAATCCGTGAAAAGTCCCAAGCTTAAATAATGATACCATAAGAAAAACTGGGTATTGACAAGCGGGAGGCTGCTCGGGAAGAGCTCTCCCCAGTCGGGGCAAGGAGGTGAAAGGCCCAGAGACCCTGCATCGACTCTGCCAACTTTTCTGCAGGCCCCACAGCACAAGACATAGGGTGACTGAAACTGAAAGAAACTGAGTCTTTTGGAGCCATTAACTACACTGGGAGCCGGCGGTCAACGAAAACCATGCACATCTCTATGGTTCCACCCTGTGTGTGTGCACGTGTGTGAGCAAGCGCAGGAGGCCACAGACGCCGGAGAGCGCATGGGCTCCCCTGGAGCTGGGGTTACAGGCAGCAGTGACCTCCTGCCGTGGTTCTGGGTATGAAACCCAGGTCATCTGGTCCTCTCTCGGGGACTGAGCCGCCTCCCCAGCCCTGGCTCCACCGTCTGAGTCAGCAGCACTGGTGTCCAATTCTCTACGACCTCTTTACTGCACTCACGGACACACACCTGCCACATACATATATACACATAACTACAAGTGAAATAAAACCTCTTCCAAAAGGCACCGGAGGGAAGCCCTGTCTAGGCTGAGCACACCCCACTGCTGCTTCTGGTCACTGACTCCCTGAACAGAACAGCATTTCCTATCAGGTGGCAGAGGTCGTCCAGGCGTGACTTATAGACGATACAGGAGTGTGTTAATCCAGTAGATGCCAGTGATGTGTTGATTTAAGATAAAGATGAACTTGGGCAGCCTCAGATTTGGGTATCCAAGAGGAACGGGGATTGTCTCCGGAACTATCCACCCCCCCCACCGCACCCCACCCCCGCAGCAGGGAGGGCAAACTCATAGCAGAAACAACATCAATGCCTACCAAAACACAAAATAAAGTTACTCAGATAATTAACCACCATTCACCAACTTACCTAAGTGGAAATGTGTTGTTAGGCATAATTAGCAGGCTCATGCATAAAAACATTAATTGCTTGTTCAAGAAGATGAGATGAAAAGGCAAGACAAGAAAAGATTTAGAGCTTGAATAGCATCTAAAGGATACTCTATCAAATCTTTCTAAAAGTGTTAATGGGAAGAATGAAAACATATTACTGATTAAAAAGTCTCACCTTTGGAAATTTGGAGGGAACTGACTGAATACTAAAAAAACAAGCCTCTGTGCATGGCTACCAAAATGCTATGGGTTAGGCCACAAATGTCTCTTTTAAAAGGCCATGTGCAGAAAGCTTGGTCATCACACTGTGGCCCTCCTAGGAGGTGGTGGCACCCTTGTAGGGAGGGCCTAGTGGGTCGAAGTGGTGTCACATGACCCTAAAGAGGCTGAGACCCAAGCCCCTCCCTCTTCTTGCTTCCAGCCATCATGGTGCACTGAGCTGCCCCAGGCCCAGACCAGAGCAGAGAGACCGTGGGCTGAAACCTAGGAAGACCATTCGCTCTAATAAACTGTTTTCCACCTCCCTCGGCAAAAAGTTTCAGATTTTAGAGTATTCAGTTTGGGTTGTTTTTTTTTTTTTTTTTTTTTTTTTTTTTTTTTTGCTTTTTTTTTTGTTGTTGTTGTTGTTTGTTTTTTGATTAGGGAAGTTCAACCTGTAATCACAGCGCAGCTCTAATCACAAGCTCAGACCTGACACCTAAAAACAGCTTCCAATTCCCCACCTCCCATCAGCACCAAAAATAAATACACCCAACACTACCACTCAAATTTGTGCTGAGCACTGGGCCAGGTCATGGGGTGACCTTCAATCAACAACAACAACACACACACAAATGTTTTAAAGTCTTCAAGGCAAAACCACCGATTCATAAACAAACAAATAAATAATTAAATAAATAAGCAAGCAAACATGGTTCTTGGTGGTATTGACGATAAATCGGATCCCTGTTCCTAATGAACTGATTCAGTTTATACTGATTATACAGTTGTAACTGAGTCTCTGGATGCATTCAGTGCAGATCTGACATGTGTGTGAGCGCAGATGAGCATCACAGAGGGAAGGACATGAACACAGCCAGCTATCTATGGTTCCATCCCAGACATGGCCCCTCACAGAGCCCCAGCTGCCCAATATCAACATCAAAAAGATTCTGAGGACAAAATAACCGGGTCTGTGTTTCCTCTTGGAGGAAACTGTCAAACCGAGAGACAACCCAACCCCTGAAGGCCACCATTTGCAACTCTAACTTCAGAAATGCTCTGGGAGGGGCCCACTTCTGTGCAGACGATTATTAATCAAAGACAGCTGCATCCTTAGCTCTTTCTACGGCTGTAAACAATTAAAGCCGTTATGTCAATTTCAGACTTCCTCACAGTACTGCTCCATCCCGATCCCAGCTGAGGGGGCACGCTCTACTTACAGTTCCGAATGTTATTCCAGTCGGTTCTGGCAAAGAAGGGGTGACAGCAGAGACCCTCAAACGTCAGTCTCTCTTTCTGGACACACAGCAAACTCTGAATCAGGTCTAGGAACTCACTGCTAACTTTGGGCTCATCCGGAAACTTCAAAAAACGCTATTCAAAAAAAAAAGAAAAAGAATTTTTTTTTAAATTATTTCTTTAGCAGCGATTCAGTTTATGTCCTGAAGTGGAGAGAGACTTTCTCGTACATGCTCCTAAAATAAGTGGCCTGCACACGTCAATAGACCTAGTTCTTTTGTTGGGGTTCAAGGCCCTTCGTGGCTTGACCCCTGCTTCCCTCTCCTCCTGTCTAATCTCCCCCCCCCCCCCCGTTGTGCAAAGGTAGCGGGCTATTTCAGGGCTATCCCTGCGCATCTCATGCTGTTCTCTGGGCCCAGAGCGCCTCCACCAGCCACCTCCCCCTCCCTCGCCCAGCTCTCCCTGGCTACTTTCCCGTCTGACATTCCCTTCCACATGCTCCCTCTGTACTCCATTTTTTCCTGCTTGCTTTTGGGTTTGTTTTTTTTTTGGGGGGGGGTGTTGGAAACAGGGTTATCAGATAGCTCAACTCAAAACACAGCCAAGGATTCACCTGCCTCCACCCACCAAAGGTGTGCCCCGCTCTGTAGGGTTGTGGTATGCTCTGGGTTCTGAGGGATGGTGGGGAGGTGGGGAGGATGCGGCCCCTCATCACTGCTGATGTGGTACCCCATGGTCCTGAGTACAGTTCTGTCAACCCTGACTCCCTGAACTAGCACACTGAAATGGAGGCTGGAAATGAGTTCCAAGAGTTATCTAGAGGGAAATTTCAACTCAAGCCTCAGTAACAGTGTTTGTACATTTTTTAAAAAATATGTATGCATCAACCATTCCAGGAAAATGAAAATTGGATGAGTTACAAAATCCAAGGGAATGAGGCCTCTTTTCTCCTTGAAGCTGAAACTAAAAAAATGGGTTCATCATGTCCTTTAGAAACGGGCTTAATTGAGTGCAAGTAAACGTATAGGAAAGCGGTTTTAATTCTACTTAATAGGTGTGTGTGTATACACAAGCGTAGGTTGCTTCGGTTCTAACTAATCTGCTCACTTCCTCCCCACTTGGGAATCATGGGCTGCAGAGCCTGGCAGTCTGTGACAGTTCAGGCCTTTCGCTCAGCCCCATCCTGCATGGTCTCTTCATCAGCGAGTGAGGTGGCCATGCCTACCTCCCAGGGTTGTTTGAAAGAGACAGGAGCCAATAAGCTATCTCACCGATGCCAAGACTCACGCTTATGCATGGTTAGCAACTCTGAACTCAAGATGTGCTTCACAATCAATAAAACCACGGAATTAATATGGCAGCCGTTTTATCCCTTTTTAGCGCTACCGAAAATGCCGAGGTGCCCTCATGATGGCGGACAGCTGTGATGCCCAGGGGAAGGGTAGGCTTCCCCCTCAAAGGCAGCTTCAGATTCTAAGTGCCTTCACCTGGAAGTTCATGATGTTGTTGAAGGTGCGGGCGGAGGTCCCCTCGGTGAATGGGGTTTTCCCGTAAACCATCTCATAGGCCACCACTCCCACTGACCACCAGTCACACTCCAGGCCACAGGTGCCTCTTCGTTCCTCGTTCAGCATGGTCAGCATCTCGGGAGCCATGTAGTCTGGGGTCCCAATGGGGAGCTTGGCATCCACCTAGAGACCCGTGAATACAACAGCACACGCGCGCGGTTACCCTCCAGTTGGTGCCAACACCTGCGTCACATGCTAACCGGTTTGCCAATGACTACCTGTCCCCACAGGCACTTACTTATTTTATATGCACTGGTGTAAAGGTGTCAGATCCCCTGAAATTAGAGTTACGGTTGCGAGCTGCCACACAGGTGCTGGGAATTGAACCCAGGTCCTCAGGAAGAGCGGCCAGAGCTATTAACCACTGAGCCATCTCTCCAACCCCAAGATAGAATTTCTTGTACTCAAAAACAAAATATATACATATAAAAATGGCAAAGTTGGGCTGGGCAGATGACCCAAAGTCCTAAGTTAAAATCCCCAAGCCCACCTTAAAAAAAAAAAAAAAAAAAAAACCAACAAAACAACAAATTACCTATAATCCCAGCACTGGGAAAGCTCATATAAGAGGACCCCAGGGCCTTGCTCCTAGCCAGACTAATCAAATGGTGAACTCCAGGTTCACTCAGAGACCCTGCTTCAAAATATAAAGTAGAGAGTAGTAGGAGACCCTGTGTTGACCTGTGGCCCCTACATCCATGCACAGACACAGGCAAGCACACTCACACATACCACTCCTGCAGAGAGAGAGAGAGAGAGAGAGAAGGAACAGCAAAGCCTAAACATGGCTCTACGATATAGGATCAATCTATTAACGAAAAGCTGGAGTCTAGCTGTCAACACAAAAACAGCATGAAGTCAGGCTACATCTCAAGTCTGGAAACAAAAAGTGGAAGGTGACCTGGGGACCGGCTCCTACTTCAGGACTGCTGCAGGGCGCAGTGTGCCCAGTATCCCACAGGGGCCGCATGTCAGTGAGGTCACCTTTCTCCTTTGCTCCTGTGGTGCTCTCACTGTATGGAAACCAGGTCCCTCCAACCAACCCACCACAGCCGGAGCTGCCCCTGGCAAAGGCAGACCAGGGCACTGCAGGAAGTCTTCCAATGCAGCCAGCCAAAGCATAATCCCCGACAGGGACCATCCTCATCTGCTAAGAGTTTCTGTTTCAGTGTTTAATGCCTTTGTTTCCTGAAATGATGCTGATCAAAGATTAGATCCCCTGACCCTCACTAGGGGATCCAGCAAGTCGGCAGCCCCTTTGATCTTCAAAACTGTTTTTCAAGTTTTACTGAGCATGAAATGTGACAGTCTGAGGACACCTGTCTACCCTCCTGTCCATCAGAGCAGAGGGGCCTGACTTGAGAGAGCAGTGTTGACCAATGCCCTGTTACTCACAGCGTTTATGACCTTCCCACAGTCACCAGTTAGACAGTGGAGAAAATTCAAACAAAACAAAACTCATCATCAAAGGATTGAAAAGTGTCCCAGTGGAACTCAGAGACCTGGGGGTATAGCCACACCCACTTAAGGGTGGGGCCTTGAGTCAAGAGAACAGATTTAAGCTGGGCGTGGTAGTGTAAGAGTTCTGTTCCAGGCCACCCTGGGCTTATATAGTAAGACCTACTGAAGAGGAGGAAAAGAAGGGGACAAGGAGGACAAGGAAGATGGGGAGGACGGGGAGGACGAGGAGGAGGAGGAGGACCAGGAGGACAAGCAGGAGGATGAGCGGGGGATGAGCAGCAGAAGAGGAGGAAGGCAGCGATGACAAGTTTGCTTTGCTTTGATTTCAGTTTTGAGAGGCAGGGGGACACTACAAAGCCCCCTCCTCAGTGGTGGGGTCGGATGAGGTTCTTAGCCATGGCGTCAAGCTTGTCCACCCTCCCACCCAAGAAGTGAGGATTTTCCTGTAATTCTCTACTTACGTATGTGCGTGTGTGTGTGTGTGTGTGTGTGTATGAACAACATATAAAACATTCCCGTGTGTGTGTATATGAACATATAAAACACTGCTGTGTGTGTATGAACATATAAAACACTGCTCTGTGTGTATGAACATATAAAACACTGCTGTGTGTGTATGAACATATTGCTGTGTGTGTATGAACATATAAAACACTGCTGTGTGTGTATGAACATATAAAACACTGCTGTGTGTGTATGAACATATAAAACACTGCTGTGTATGAACATATAAAACACTGCTGTGTGTGTATGAACATATAAAACACTGCTGTGATTACCCCATTCCTCCTTTTCACGTGTACATATAACAGGAATAAGCTTTCACACTTTCTCTCATGTGCTTACAGACGCACATACACACGCGTACATACAGCACAGGAATGCTGAAATCATTCCTGTGAATCTCCGTTTCCTCTCCTCCAACCCCTCTCCTCAGTGCCAGGTCTTCCTGGCCTCCGACACAGAAAGCGGGGTCATGACGGCACCTCCAACATGGCGCACTTCACACAAGGACCCATTTGAGAACACCCACAAGTCACAGCGCGTGAGAAACACCAGGCAGGCCTGTGCTGGAGGCAGCGAGGTGACTTAACCTTGAATCCAAGAGTAGCTGGTGCGGCAGCAGTGTGGGCCCCGGTGACTTAACGCCTAGCTCTCTTGCAAGCACGGGAACCGCACAATTGTCAGAGGAACATCTGTGGTTGGGGTCTATTTTACTGCTACGTGGTGTGTTCTAGAATATTCTGCCCTCCTCCTTTGCAGCTGACGGGACATGATCACTTGTTCACATCCAACGAGCTGACAAGGGCCAAGTTTATTAGGATGACCCAATCAGAGGGCATGAACTGTCAACGCCTCATTCCTAGACTGTTAACCAGAGTCAGATAATGACCCTGTGCATATTGTACTTACATGTCCACGCTGGAAAGCTATGAAAGCACACCTGCCTGCTGGCACCACCTCCGTGGGTGCAGCTTAACCCTGTGTTTTTCAGCAATTAACAGAGACTGCCGAGTCACTGACCTCCAAGCAGCACCCGGTGGTCCCAGTGATTTCACTCTTTTCTGACAGAAGCTCAGCAGCTGGCCTGGGTGAGATATCCCAGGTGACCTAGGCACCCCAGGGGCACAAAAGGCCCTTCTGACAGGGTCTGGAAAAATGAAGAAAGTTCATCGGGGGACCCAGGAGCAAGGGCAGAAATGTCTGCCACGGTTTAGCGGAGGAAGGGGAGATGAAGGGAAAGGGAGGGAGTGGATGGGGGAGAATCGGAGTAACTGGAAATTCAGCAGAGTCTTTTAAAAATGAAAAGGCCCGGTGATGGTGGCGCACGTCAATAATCCCAGCACTCGGGAGGCAGAGACATGTGCGTTTCTGAGTTCAAGGACAGCCTGGGTTACAAACAAGTTCCAGGACAGCCTGGGCTACACGGAGAAACTCTGCCTATAAATAAATAATAGATGAATGGGTGGGTGGGTGGAAGGATGGATGGATGGATGGATGGATGGATGGGTGAATGAGTGAATGATGGGTGAATGAGTGAATGATGGGTGAATGAGTGAATGATGGATGAATGAATGATGGATGGATGAATGATGGATGAATGAGTGAATGATGGATGAATGATGGATGGATGAGTGAATGATGGATGGAAGGATGGATGGAGGGATGGATGGAGGGATGGATGGATGAAGAGGGGGGTGGAGAGACAGTTCCATGGTTAAGAACTCGTGATGATCCTGCAGAGGATTCGAGTTTGATTTCTAGCATCTACATCAGAAGGTTCACAACCACCTGTAACCTAGCTCTGAGGGAATCCAATGCCCTCTCCTGAACACAGCAGGGACTGTACTCAGAATTTTAAAATAAAATATGGGAGGTAAACTATTCTCATCTTCCTCTCAAACCATCACCATAAAAGGCTGGAATGTGAAACTATTTAAACAACTTGCTCTACACACACACACACCACACACCACACACACACACCACACACCACACACACACACACACACACACACACACACACACACACACACCACTGTAGAAGTAGACAGATATTTTTGTTTCTCTAAGTCTGGCTTTAGGGCTGGGAAAACCAACATTACCAGAGTGTGAGCCTGGCAGAGGGGATGGAGGGAGAGGGAGGGCAGAGCCACAGGAGTGACTTCTGTATATGTATAACATATGTGTGTGTCTGTCTATGAAAACACAAGAGAGAATAGGAACTCTACAGGAATGGAAGAAACCTTTGCTCCTGCTAAGTCACACCGAGGGTCCTGAGGTCACTGAGCACGTGGTCCCGCTGACTAAGGTAAAATACAGGACAGCTGACTTCTAAATAAGAAGCCAGAGATAAAGACAACAGGAAAAAAACTCAACGCTTGGAAGATCATAGACATCCAGAATGCAAGGGAATGAAGGAAGTCGGTGGACTCAGAGGCAGCACACAGGAAGTTAGCAAATACTCATTGGGGGCCACCCTTCTCTGCATGTGTTGAGTAGGGGCCACAGGACAGCTTGGGTATCTTCAATCACTTCCTACCTTGCTTACTTTTGGTACGGTCATGTGGGAGGAACACGCACAGGCAAGCACACATACCACAGCACCGAGGGTGTGGAGGGCATAGGTCAACCTGCAGTACTCCCCTTCCTCCAAGTGGGTCCTAGGGATGGACCTCAGATACAACAGCAAACACCCTTACCTGCTGAGTCACCGTGCCAGCCCTCCACCTTGATTCTTAAGCCAAGATCTCTCACTGAACCTGGAGCTCACGCCTTCAGCTTGCCTGGCTGACAACCAACCTCAGAGATATCTGTCCCAGCCTCCCCAGCTCTGGGATTTCACGTGGGATTGAACTCGAGGCCCCGTGCTTACCTGACACACCCTTTACTAAATTAGCCATCTCCACAGCCCACAGACTGTGTTTTATAGTATAAAGTACAGAAAACAAGTAGAACCTATGTTAGGCCTAAGAGGCACCGTCCAACACAAACACGTTCAGCTGTGTGCTCACGATTAACCAAAAAGACAAACCAATTTTAATTCTATATCCTTACTTGCTCTGGATTGAAAATTATTTCTCTTCTACAATTATTTCTCTTTATATTTAAGACACTGCTAGAGGGGCTGGGGAGATGTTCAGTGGGTGAAGGGCTTGTAGTGGAAGCCGAAGGACCCGAATTCTAGGTCCAGAATCCATGTAAAGCCAAGCATTCCTACCATGAGACTCTGGGTAGAAACAGGAGAGTCCCCAGGAACCCATAGGCCACCTAGCCTGGGAACAATGAAGAGAACCCAGATCAAACAGGAAGAGACACTGAGGGACACTGGAGGTTATCCTGACTTCCACATGTGCATACACATACACACATGCACACGCACTCACACACACAACTACACACACGTGCGCATGCACACACGCACACTCACACAGACATGAGATAAAACACTGAAAATGTATTAAACTTGCCCTCATCTGCTTTTCACACTCTGGCCCTAAAAGCACGGGAGGAGAGGAACACAGTGCTCAAGGCCTGTCTGAGCACCGTCTGCTGGACTAAAGCGAACCAAAGAATCTCCTGTCTGGGGTGAAGGCTGCTACAATTAGAACTCTTAAGGCGTTTTGAAGCACCACAAGATAAACATAAAGACCTCTCTAAAGAGAGGAGCTCCACCTGGCTGCAGGGTCAGGGTCAGGGATGTACTTTGTTCGTTTGTTTTTAGACAAGAGCTCACTATGGAGCCCTGGCTAGCCCAGACAGAACTCACTATGAGGACCAGGCTGGTCTGTAACTCACAGAGATCCTCTTGCATCTGTTTCCTGGGTGCTGCTGGCATTAAAGCCTAAGCCGCCATTCCGGACTAAGGGCCTTACTCTTCGCTGCTCTTTATTTACGGAGCAGAAGTGATAAATCATAACCCTGCTTTTTCCCGTGGGCTATTCTTACTGCAGACACATATTGCCAAGTTTAATTATTTCCCTGACGCTTTTTAATCTACAGTCACCGTTCTTAACCCACGGTCGTTTTCTTCCCTCTGCCCCGGGGACTCTGGGAATACTGGAGACATTTGGGACTGTCGTAACTGAGCGGAAGGGTGGTGTTTGGATCCAGCCGAGTAGAAATCAAGGATCCGGTTAAACATCCAATAACGTACAGCTTAGCTCCCCACAACGGAAGACATATCCAAACTCAAATGGCAACGGTAGAAAGGTTACCCTGTCAGAGTAGAAACCTACACTATAATTCTTTTTTTCTAAGAACGTTAGTTTATAACTGTCACTGATAGATTAGTTTCTGAACCCTATGAAAGATATGCTATTTGATTTGCCCCCTGTGCATTACTCCACTAAATTCCATGTCTGAGCTCTCATGTCTTTTTCTAACTGCTGATGGCTTGGATGGGAAGCGAAAGTGCCATGGACAGGAGCTCAGGGTCTCACCCCATGCAAAGTGCATTCTCCACCGCTGAGCTGCACCTCAACTCCCATTAATTTTTATTTTTATTTATTTATTTCAGGGGAAGGGAGTTACAAGACAAAGCTTTTCTGTGTAGCCCTGGCTATCTTGAAACTCACTCTGTAGACCGGGCTGGCTTCCAGCTCACAGAGATATGCCTGCCTCTGTCTCCACGAGACAGACAGACAGACACACAAACACACCCACACAAACACACCCGCCAGCCCCAGCACAAGTGCTGGGATTAAAGGTGTGTGACAGCTAACTTTTTTAAAAAGTATTACATACAAATTTATAAATAAACTTATGAAATAAAATGTTTCCCTGAGGTTTTTTTCCCAAACATCCTTAATGCTATTTACTGTGGAATATAATACATAAAATGACTAGATTCTAGAATTCTTTCCAGAAACTTCTGTATTATGCTTATTAATTTAGTTTGTGGGTGTGTGCACATGCCACCTTGTACACGTTGTCAGAGGACAACGTGTACAAATGAGCTGGATGCTCTTCCTTCTTCCACATGGGTCCACATGGAACTCAGTTTATCAGAGACAACAGGGAATGCCTTAATACACTGACCCATTGCACCAGCCCCTGGTTACATAATTCTTAATAAATAAACTATAGGACTATCACCGGAGGGACCGGAGACACCGCAACTGTTAGCATTTGCTGCTCTTCTAAAGGACCCAAGTTCGAATCCAGTACCTAACCCAGGCAGCTCACAACACCCTGGAACTTCAGCTTCGAGGGAACCAATCTGTCGGGGCCTCCTCTGGCCTCCTCTGGCACCCACACGTGGCACATTCACAAGGGCACAGACACACAAGTAAAGCCAATAATCATAAATCTTAAAAAAAAAAAAAAATGGCGCTTAAGGGTGGAAGAAAAAAGTAACGCTGGAGTTGAGTTTGAACTGTGTCAAGATTCTGTTTTTCTAACGGCCTAAATGCCAAGTAAGTTACCTGGAGAAGTTCTCAGGGCTACAGAACACACAGGCCAGATTCCAAGGTGCACAGAGTTAATGCAGCTCTAAGCCCTTTCCTAATATCAACCTAATAATATCCACCTTTCCCAGAGGAATCTGGGGATGAAAAAGTAATTTTACATATTGTCCTTCATATAAAGGACTTAAGTCTCAGGCCTGCGAGGCGTTCTGAAGAGTGCTTGCTCCAGCCTCCGATTTTATGCATTTTAAGTAGATTCTGTGTCTTCTGGAGAGAGGATGAACGGCTGAGTTCCCCAGGATTTGCCTGAGTCACTGAGTGGCTCAGTGGTGAAATTGAGCTTATCACTTAAGTCGACTTTCCCCTCAGACAGACCCCTTCTACATGAGTGACCTTGAAATTCACATTTTAGGATGAGCCAAATTTATTAGAGGGTTCTACATTCTTTGTCTTTGTAACTTGGTCATCTTTCTTGAGAGTAGCCTCAGTGTTGATCTGCTCCTCTCCTGGCTTCCTAACCAGCTCGGGAAACACAGTTTAATTTCTACCAAAAGCCCAAGACTTGAAAATCAGTTTTTGATGCTTCAAGGTATTTAGTTCAAACTCTCCAGTAACTAATTTCAATTTTGCTGCATATGAAGAACAGTTAAGAAAAAGAAGGTCAAATATCACCAAAATATTTAAAAGTAAACTAGGTGATGTAAGAGAAAACTGTCTCTGTAGGAGATAAGGGGAAAGAAAACGAACATCCCCCATTTTGTGTTGAATGAAAACATAAGAACACTCAAGACTGTGGTCAGGGTGCTCGCGGGTGTAACAAAAGGGTGCCGCGGTGTGGGGACACCTCTGCATCCCAACCCTGCCCCCACTCCACAAGTGTCAAACACTGACAGCCGCGGCTCCGAAATGCCACTCCCCACTGCTGCCCCACATCCACCAGATCCACGAGAGCCCCAGAATGTTCTGTAGCACGCCCCTTCCCCCTCCCCCTCCAGCCTCCCCCCTCACCCCACCCCACCCCACCCCCCCACCCCCCGTTGGCTCATGCCGTTCTCTAATCACCTTATTTGAATTCATTTTAGCAGCTGACCCAAAATCCACCAGCTTGATGTGTCCTGTTCGGTCAATGAGGATGTTCTCGGGTTTGATGTCTCTGTAAGAGAGAGTCAAGGCCTTACGTCAGCGTTGTCTTTGTGCTGGTCGATGAGCGCACCTCGGGTCTCAATTCAGCCAAAATTCTCAACTCGTGTGCTGTGCTACGCAGACCTTCCCTAATGGTAGATAGGGGTGACTAACACACATCTTGAAAAGTTAATGTTTTTAAAAGGGAGGGAGAAAAAGCAAATGCAATGTTTGTTATTAGATGGATGGGTGGTTTCTACCAGAGGCTCACACTTTCATAGTTCAATAACTAAGACTGGAAAACCTAAAAAACTCACCGAGGTCATGTGGTTCACAAATGGAAAAATCTTTTATCCCAAATTCTGCATCCCTAACGTGTGTGTGTGTGTGTGTGTGTGTGTGTGTGTGTGTGTGTGTGTGTGTGTACACGATCTATATCTATCTCTGTATGATTCTGAAGTTAGGAAAGGATGTGAGAGACACCTGGGGTCAAAGACTTCTGCGGAATGTCCTTGCAACTTCCGAACGCTAGCGGTAAAAAGTACTACCTGCGGCGTGGACCTTGAGTGGCTTGCAAAGGTCCACGTGTTCAAGGCTTGGGCCTCAGCGTGACACAACAGGGAGAGAGCAGAACCTCTAAGAGGTGGCCCGGGTGGGGTAGCCTCACGTCACTTCTTGTCAATGAAGTCAGAAAAGCCGCCTTCAGGCCCCACTGCGGAGCTTTGGCTCCACGGTTAGGTTAGGTGGCTTTGTTGCTTGGAGCCCGAAGAGGGCGGAGAATCATGGCATCAGGCATGTTACAGAGCAGAGTAGCTCACGCTGTGGTGGCCACAGAGCCACCAGAGAACGGGACAAAGTGTGCATTTTAAAAGTGTCCTCCGGGGATCGCCCTCCTCCAAACAACCCCACCTCCCAGTTACCAGAACCCCATAAGACACCGACAAAGTACGACTCCCTCAATAAATTAACCCATTAGTGAAATCATAGCCATTTTGGAAAGCTTTTAGCCAATCACAGGCTGGGCTAGCTAAATGAAGACTTCTTCTAAATGAAGACTCGTTACTATGCATGGGGACCCATGCGTGATCCGGGAAAGTTCTCAGTGCATTCCTAGGAGCCCCACTTACCGGTGCACATAACCCATCTGATGCACGCTGTGAACAGCCAAGATCAGCTCAGCAAGGTAAAACTGAATCATATTTTCGTCTAACTGGTCCTCGTATCGATTCAGAAGTGACAGTAAATCCCCTCCAGGCTGATATTCCATGACCTGTAGAGAACACCAAAGTTACCTGGGTTTTTTTTTTTTTTTCCACACACCCCCAAATAGGGACACCTCAACTGACCTCTCAAACACCACCTAACGATGCTGTAACCGTTAACCCTGCAGAAAGCAACGAGATGTGTGACGCGCGTCCTAAGACGCAGGAAAAGGTCTTTGCCCTATGGAAACTGCATACATCGTGACCCACCAGAACGGAGAGGGTGCAAGAACAGCCAGACGCTTGCAAGGCAAGCCTGAGAAGTTGAATTAAATCCACCTCCTCCCACGCCCACCCAAGTTGACACCCCAGACAGTCCCTAGGATCAGGTACACCATGTAGATGGATATTCCTGGAGGGCGACAAACACGCTAACATTCACGTTGCATTGTCCTCGGCACACGGCAGAGTATAGGAGGCGGCGTGTGGTAAATGCAATACAACCCTTCCCTTTTACAGGCAGCGTGGAGGGCAGTCAGTGATCTCGATTAAACATTTAACAGTGAGCATACACCCTTTGACATAGCTACGCCACTCTGAACAACTTACTTTATTGGTACTTACAATTCATAGATAAAAGATAGATAAGTAAATAGATTCTCTACTGGATGGTTTATAACAAGAGAAATATACTTGGAAATCATCCTAAGGCCCATCCATAAGAAACCAGCTAAATTATGATACCTCTAAATCATGGGCTATGATATTAGAAACACATGATTCCAGCTATTCATGCCACAGGGGAAAGCTGTCCATATCACAGAAGGCGACATTCTGTACAGGATAAAGGATAACCTCCCTTTTCAATAAGAAAAAAAAATTACATTTTTGATGTATATGAAAAATAAATCAAAATATGTAACTAAAATGCTTGCTAAGAAGAGGCCAGGCAGTGACGGCACACGCCTTTAATCCCAGCACTTGGGAGGCAGAAGCAAATGGATCTCTGAGTTTGAGGTCAGCCTGGTCTATAGATCGAGCTCCAGGACAGCCAGAGAAACTCTGTACAGGAAAACCCTGTCTCAGTGGGGGAAAAAGAAGAAGAGAAAAGAAAATTCCACCCAAGGAGTGAAAACCATCAATGCAAGCATGTGTGTGTGCGTGCGTGTGTGCGCGTGTCTTCACAATATGCACACGTGAGCATTTGTACAGGTGTGAATACTGGTACACTTAGCCTGCATGACACATGGTGACTGAGAGGGTAACAACAGGTGTCAGTCCTTGACTCCAGTCTTGTCAGGGTCTAGACACTCCCGCCTCAGTCTCCCACATCCCTGGCGGAACACTGGCCCTGCTGGTGCTCACACTGTGCATGTGATGCTCACGCTGTGCATGTGATGCTCACGCTGTGCATGTGATGCTCACGCTGTGCATGTGATGCTCACACTATGCATGTGATGCTCACACTACGCATGTGATGCTCACGCTGTGCATGTGATGCTCACGCTGTGCATGTGATGCTCACGCTGTGCATGTGATACGCTGTGCATATGATGCTCACACTGTGCATATGATGCTCACACTGTGCATATGATGCTCACATTATGCATGTGATGCTTACGCTGTGCATGTGATGCTCACACTGTGCATATGATGCTCACACTATGCATGTGATGCTTACGCTGTGCATGTGATGCTCACGCTGTGCATGTGATGCTCACACTGTGCATGTGATGCTCACACCCCTCCTCCGTCTTTTCTTATGATAACCAGATGGAAAAATTCCTGAATCAATGCCTGACCTGGAGGCCAGTCAGCTTGGTCTGACTCACCCGGTGACTTCCCTTCCCAACCTTCCATGGTCTTCCCCTGAAAACTCCCCCTCTTGCAACTCCGCAGGAGGACCAGGAGGACCAGGAGGACCAGGAGGACCAGGAGGACCAGGAGGACCAGGAGGACCAGGAGGACCAGGAGGACCAGGAGGATGGGCTCAGTGCCTGGAGCCGACCTGAGACCCACTCTTCCATCCCCTCCCCTCAGTGTGTGGCTCTTTTCTGGCTGGAGAGGAGCTAGGGCCCACTTGAGCTGAGGCTGTAATTGTTCCCCTGGGAGTTCTCCTGACCTTTGCTCTAATGTCCACTTTGTTGGCCAGTGTCGGCCTGTGCCTGGTCCTTTCCAGAAAAGGCCATTTTTCAAATGCACTTCTGTCAAGAAATACTAAATCCTCTGTGATGGTTCATCTTAACTGTCAACTTGATTGCACTTACGATCACCATGGAAACACACCTGGGGGAGGGGGGAGGGGAATGAGGGAGTTTCCAGAAAGGTTTGACTGAAGAGGAAAGAGCCACCTTGAATGTGGGCAGCACCACTCCGTGGTCTGGGCTCCCGGGCTGAATAAAATGAGAACGAGAGCCGAGCTCAGTTCCTGGCTGCGGACACGGTTTAAGGAGCCACCAGCCACCCCTGTGCCCATGCCTCCCCCACCATGACAGACAGTAAGGATGAAGTAATGCCTTCCTCTCTTCAGTTGCTTCTCACCAAGTATCTACTCACGGTAATGATCGACAGACCTACCAAACACTGCATCCCAGCAGCCAGCTCTGGGATGCGAATTCTGCTCTTCTGACTGCTGCTGTTCGCCTTTCCTGCAGTCTTGGGAAAAAAGGCCCTAGGCAGTGTGATGGCTAACCACAGTTGCCAACACCTGGGAAGAGGGACCCCCAACTGAGAGATTACCCCCCATGGCACCTCCCTCATGCCCCACCCATGGCTTTTTGGTTTGTGGACAGCAACAGAGCGATTCAGATGGAGAAGCCTCTGTTCAGGTCTTAGGAGGTCCACCCAGCACCAGGCCAGCCTGGGGCCAGACTCCTCTGGGGAAGGCAGCCAGGGACTTGAACCTCCTCTCACAGCCCTGGAACCGACCCGTTCGCACAGCTTATGCTCTGCACACGCTGCCCTGGGAGAGCAAGATGCCACTCGGTACCACAGTTGCTCAGAGCAAAATCGAGTCACCAACAAGCACAACACCTAGAAGCGGTAAAAGTATTTCCTCCAAATTCGCAGCACAGCCGACGGCGACGACAGTGACGTCAGCCGCTCACCTCAGCCCCAGAGGAGCCCACAGGAGCCACCTGGCTTGCTGGAGCTCACCCACTCATCCCAACCTGGTTCTCCACAGGCCTGGGGATGTGGGTGAATGCTAATTTGTAAGTCTGCTTTAAATATATACTGCCATTAAAAGGGTCTTGAACAGCAAAAGGGAATTCACAGATAATAGCAGGCGCACTCATACTTTCAGAACGCAAATGGTTTAAAAATAAGAACAATGCATATTTATGATGACGCACCACTATTACAGGCTTCCTCAGGCTCTGTTATGTGAGACCCAGAATGGCTTCTAAGTTTAAGGCTCAGAAAGTCAAAACTACGGCAACCGTTGGCAACTTTGGTGAGCTCACATGTCAACCCCTTGAAGATTCTTCTGTTCAGCAGAACCAGCAGGAAAAAAAAAAAAAATCCAGAAAACCAGCATTTCCTACGAAGGGACAAAGATAGGTGTTCTTGGCCACCCAAACTAGATTTGTCTTTTCTGAGGGTCAAATGACCCTCCCATGTCTGCAGAAGCCAAGGACTGATAGAGAAAACGAGCCACAAAAATTACAACAGCTGCTGGCCTGTGCACTCCGTGACTGGGGGCCAAAACAGACTCCCTGAACGATAAACATGTGAGTAGGATGATCTTTATCAGAGAGCCTAATCAAACCGCACGCACGAGCCGGCACAGTCCCTCCCCGATGAGCATACTAAAGTCTCCAACTGCACGACACGTTAGTGCTCTGGGCATCCAGGGTCACTCTGAGGAGCCAGAGACTCTCCGCAGCCCACGACCACACTGAGGCACATTGGTGTCAGCTGGAATACATGGAGCCCACCGGGGAGACGGTTTGTGTGGAGTACAGTCCAAGTTTAATCAATCACCATTCTGTTAAACTTAAAGAGACGATAAAGAGTCAGGGACTTTCACAAACGCCCAAGACTGCAAAAGGCGGTGCTCAGCCAAGAGGGCGGATAAGGTCCTCAGCAAATGTCACCGACTGAGTCCTAACCTCACTCTTAACTTCAAACGTGCGATCCTCCTGCCTCAGCCTCCTGACTCCCAGGCTGGTGGGCATACATTACCACACCCAGATGAGGAATGTACTTTCCCACACTATTTATTATATTACTTTTTATTGTTGTATTTAAAGGTCAGAGGACAATGTTGTAGACTTCTCTCCTCCTAACTTTACATGGTCTCCAGGGACCAAACTCAAGTCATCGGGTCTGCAGGACAAGTGCCTCACCGGCTGAGCCATCGAACCCAGAGAATACATTCAGGAGTGGTTCTGGTGCTGCCTACCCGGCACGGAACCCGGGACCGTTATTGGTGATGCTGTAGAACCAATCCCTTTCCTAGTCAGGTCCTGTCTTACCCAAAGTCCCTGCATCACTGTGCCCTCAACGGAGCTTGGCTTGAATGCAGCCATCACTTCTGCTTACATTTTCTTCCAGCAACTTCTGGCAGGGCTTTGTGAACATCGAGACAAGATTGCAGACAAGAAAGGGCTGGAAAATAACCACTGAAACAATAATCTTCCACCCTTGCAAGGACCGGAGGAGACATCTCCTACACAGAGGACAGGCGCATCTCATCCAAATGGGGAAATCACCAAATCACAGCAGGCAAAAGCTGGGGAGGAGATGCGGTAAGAAAGAGCCCTCAGGCAAGATGGGCCTGACTGGTGTGGCCGCCTGCCCTGCTAACAACAGAGGCTGCACCGCAGCTGACAGGCGAGCCTGGCTTGGAGCCGTGAAGGACCTGCTCTTACAAAGCAAAGGCTCTCTGGCAGACAGAGACAGACCCTTCTACGGCAGCAGCTGCAAATGCTAATTAAAGGGCAGATCTTACACATGTTCAGTTTGGAAGGAGAGGGGGCTTCTCTGTTGGGTTTTGAATCTATACTCCCAGGACTGTGGCGGCAATTTTCACTCATTGTGCTGAAGTCAAAATGAAGGACGGCTG